TTGCGATTAGATGCGCTTTGACAAGATGATTTCAATGAATTATTGATCACAAAAATCAAATTACTGCTTATTGATATAATGCAATTAAAATTTGCCAAAATTTTCATTATTATTTTTAAGACATTTTGATATTGCATTTTATGGCTTTTTGTTGTTAAATTTTATGGCTTTTTATCATCTATTCATACCAAATGAAAATGGAAATATTTATAATGAGTATTATACTTATAATTAGTAAAGATCAAAAGTAGAATTTTCTAATAAATGGGATTAGGAAAAATGGGGTTTTCTGACGTTGAATGATGGGTATGTTTTTGGTTAATTTTAAAATTGTGTGTGAAAGAATAAGATCACAAAAAAAAATCATTGCTTAATACCTTTGTTTGACGATTGAAATTGGAAATCGTATATTTTTTATTTTGAAAGATGAAATCTATATATAAGAACCAAATGATGTCAGATTGTAATGACGTGTTTATAAAAGTAAGTTGAATATTGTTTATTTCATATCTACCGCGAATTCTTTTGTATGCCCTACCTTAATTGATCTTAATAAAGAAAATGTGTGATTATTTTCACTATAATCATGAATAATTTTTGATTGTCAAAACTAGTCGGCCAAAACGACTATTTTATAGTATTAGGAAATTTCACACAAAATGGCATATTTTCGTCGTCGATGCCAAAACATTGGAATTTGATCCAATGATCTCAGAATATAGTATATCGAAATTTTTTAAGAATGTTTTTATTTAATTCACTTTTTTGAAAAGAACCCTTTTCGTTGAAAAATTATGATACGGTATTTATTGCATTTTTGTGCAAGAAAAATTTAAAGAATTATTATTTAAAAAAAAATATGTTAATCTAAATAGAAATAAAGCAAAATCTTTATTTACATAATATTGATCTTATGATAATGTAATACAATTGGTCGAAACCACTTGAAAAAATTTTCTATAGGATACAGGAAACTAAGACATTGCTAAATTAAAAATTAATTCAAATGTTATTCAATCACAGACATACAATAATAATCTATAAGATATTAATTTTTTAATTCAAGTTAGATGCTCCGGAAATATGATTAAAAAGTTGAAAAAAGAATCAAAAGTTGGTTTAATAAAAACGGTTTGCGACGTATTAGATCAATTTGATAAATTGTAACGAACGATGCCTCAACCGGCGCTCTGTAATAGGCCTAAAAGAAAAGAATTATCTAATTCTTTTATTTATAACAAATTTTCATGCAAAGACAAGTAACATTTTGATACCAAATCAGTATTGCCAAAATATATCGATTATTTGATTCATATAGTCATGTACATGTACAACTCGACTAATCTTTAAAAATATTCAAAACGTTTCCATCAGCTAAAAAAAAGAAAATCTTTCACTAGTATTCTAGCCCAGTATGATTGCTGCCATGATTTATCTTAACATTTTTCTTTACAAATAAACTTAAAAATTTAAATCCACATCGACAATATTTCACATTCAAAAAGTAGTAACATCGCATCGACAGCTTGGAGGATCTATTATAGATTCATAAAGAAAGCATTCTATATACAGATGTATATTAAATATAAAAATTGGAAAATGGTGTTAAACCTGGATAACGATATTCTGAACGACTACATGGAACGACGAAATGGTATAAAAAGACACGCCATCATCATCAATGTATTTTTAGGTTACGAAGCAGAATTAAAATTAAGATTATACTTATATACTTAATAGCCTCTTTTAAGATTTATTTGATTTGTATTGGCGATTTTTTATTTCATAATTTCCTTCATCATTTGCAATTTGCAATTTTTTCCTAAGTTCATGAGTCTAACTATATGTCGATAAAAGTTATTCATAATTTTGATCTTATTATGTAAATTGTCATTAAGGCATCAAGAGAATACAGAAGTACGATTATTTGAATATTGCGATGTTCAAACAGTCGTTCGAAACTTTTCGCATTGAATTTTTTGATAATACGGTAAATGTCTTTTGACATACAATATTCCTTGAATCATTATTATAATTCTTTAATGATTCTTTAATTACGAAATACTTAGTTATTTTTAAAATTAGTATATATTATGGCTTAGCAGACTGAATTACTGTAACTGTAAATTTCAATGTTAACGACGAGCACGTGATAATAATTAAATTAACCATCCATTATCCTTCCTTGGTTCAATTCCGACATTGATTCTATAATGTACAAATTTGACCTTTATTTAAAAGGATCGCAAACTTAAAATTTCAAGACTTATTTGTGATTTCTTGAATTTCCTGAAAGCTTTATTCTTAAAAAATATGGTTTCATTACTTTTACAGTTTAACAATATATAATAATAAATTTAACAAATAAGTATTCAAAAAAAAATTTAAAAATTCTAACAAACAAGATCTTTGTTAACATGATAACAATTGATTTATTTGCTGGACGTCAAATTTCAGTTTTTATACTTTAAATTAAAATACTGGGATAAAATAAATATACTGAATAAAGGTCGTGCAAAATTAAACGTGATATAAAATTTTAAAATTGACGGTTTTTTTTTTTCACGTATAAATATTTTTATATGAATTTTGTATTACGCAAATTTATCTTGATAAAATTGTTTAATGTAAATCTACCGCCACTCTTTTTTAAACAAAATCTGAAATGCCGATAATAATTATTCATAATTACTCGTGTTTTGCATCGTTCTAAAACAGTATTTGAGTGGGAAGGACTTCTTATTAATGAGGATATGAATATAGTCGATTTTTTCAATAGTTAATGAATTAAAGACATAATTATGGGAAAAATTGTATTGCATATTATAGTCGCACAAAAACAAGTGAAATAAGTAACAAAATATGTCAAGAAAATAATATTTATATAATAAAGCGTATGTATTTTTTTCTTAAGTGTAGTCACGTGCTAAAAATTTACTTAAAAATTTGACACGGCCGGGTCACGAGAATCTAAAATTAATTTTGCCTGGCCTTAAAACCAATATAAATAATAGGATGACTAATTTTTTTAATAATACAAATTGACGTAAAAAAAGATAATTTCTCGCTATACTTATACATGCTGCTTTCTTAAAGTCATGTTTTACAAGGTATTGTGAGTTTACCTTTTGAAATATTGCTTGTCTTGTTCGATATATTACTTTTTCTATATTGGGTTCGTTCATAAAATAATATGAGGTCACGTGGGGCTAAGAATTTTGATCGACGAATTGCATTACGTTGCTTATAATAAAAAAAAAATTTCAATTTTTTTTTAATTTTAACGATGTCTGATAACGGAAAGAAAATTGGTAAGCGAGAAGTTTAGCGTATTTTAAAACAAGCTTATCTGATGATATAAAACTAAAACTTTAAATTTTATATTTAAAGAAACATATACTAAAGGGAGTAAGTTTTAACTCAAACTAAATTTTTCATTTAAAAAAATAATTAATAATTAACATGTTATTTATATTGATTACCTGTATTTTACACTCAACTAAATTTTTTATTAAACAAAAAATATATAATAATTTAGAACGTTAGTTATTTGTATTTGATTATCAGTATTTAATTATACTTTTTACTGCAATTAAACTTAACTAAATTTTTTATTTAAAATATATTATTATTAGAGGGTAAGTTATTTCTATTGATTATCAGTATTTAATTATACTTTTTATACTTTTTACTATAATTTAAACTCAACTAAATTTTTTATTTAAAAAATAATTTAAAAATTTTAGATGGTGTTATTTTTATTGACGGTATTTAATTATACTTTTTACTGTAATTTAAACTCAACTAAATTTTTTATTTAAAAAATAATTTAAAATTAATAATATAATAGATTGTAAGTTATTTTTATTGATTATCAGTATTTAATTATACTTTTTACTGTAATTTAAACTTAATTAAATTTTTTATTTAAAAAAATAATTAATATTTTAGCTTGTAAGTTATTATTTTGCTTTTTACTGTATTTTAATCTTAACTAAATTATTTATATTAATTTTTTAGTTAGTAAGTTAATGTTATTGATTATAATTATTAATTATACTTTTTAATGAAATTTAAATTGAGCTAAATTTTTATTTAAAAAATTTTAGCTTGTAAGTTATTTTTATTAATTATTATACTTTTTATTACAATTTATTTCTAACTAAATTTTTTAATTAATTTATATAATAATTTAGCTTGTAAGTATTTTTATTGATTATTAGTATATAATTATATTTTTTATTGTAATTTAAATTTAACTAATTTTTTAATTTAAAAATTAGTTCGTAAGTTATTTTTAATGATTATCAGTATTTATTATACTTTTTACTGTAATTAAACTTAAATAAATTAAACTTAACCAAATTTTTATAATTAATAATTAATAATATAATATTAATTATATTTATTAATATATATAATTATAATATATTTTAAACTTTAATTATAATATTATATTTTATATGTATTTGAAAAACAATAAAGTGAGTTTTTTTAAAATTATAATTTATATAAAAAAATAAATAAATATAAAACAGCATTTATTAAAATAAACTTTTTTGTATTAATTATATTTATTTAAAGTAATAGAAAATAGTAATATTCAGAATGATTTTCAAAAGAATAATGCTACTAAATGGATAGAAAATACATTAACAACTGAAAAAGTTAAATTTATACCATTTAATCAATTAATAAATTCTACACAATTAACTACTGGAGGATTTGGATGTATTATGAAAGCAACTTGGATTAAAACAGGAACTTGCATTATTTATAAAAAATTAACTAATATAAATTCTATTAAAGGTAATATATTAGATGCTTTTATTCATGAATTACAAATCCATTTACGTCTTGATTGTAGTGATCGAATTATTCGTTGTTTTGGTATTAGTAAAGGTAAATTTATAATTTATCTATTTTAAAATTAAAATTTTTACATTAAATTTATATTATAAAAATCCATTTTTATAGATAATAATGATTATCTTCTTATAATGCAATATGCTAATGATGGTGACCTTCAAAATTATCTTGAAAAAAATTTTAAAATTTTAACTTGGAATGATAAAAAGAAATTAGCATTCCAAATTGCTGAAGGATTAAATTACTTACATAATGAAAATATTTTGCATAGAGATCTTGTAAATATTTAGTTGATAATTTAATAATTTTAATTTAATTCTTAAATATTTATTGAAATTATCTATTTTAATTTAGCATTCTAAGAATATAGTAATTCATAATGGTAATGCTAAAATTACAGATTTTGGTCTTTCAAAAAATATGAATTTACAAAATTCTACTATTCATATCGGAACCTTTGGTAGAATTGCATATATAGATCCGAAAAAACTTTTAGATTTAAAGTTTAAGTATGAAAAAGCTTCAGATATTTACAGTTATGGTGTATTAATGTGGGAAATCTCTAGCGGGATTCCTCCATTTAAGGAGTTAATTAGTAAAGGTGATCAAGCATTGCTTCGTCTTTTTATCATTGATGGATATCGTGAAAATGTTATAGAAGAGACCCCTGAAGATTATAAGATGCTTTATGAAAAATGTTGGAATTCTTTACCTGGTAATCGGCCTAGTATTAAAAAAGTTTTAGAAGAGTTTAAAAAAATGGGATATGGAACAGATGAAGAAGAAAATTCAACTTATGAGGATTCTTCTAAGGAAACAGAAACAAATATTAATATCATTTCAAGTGAAGGTATAGTAATGTAAATTAATATATTATTGATTTAAACTTTTATTAATAATACTATAAATCTTATTATTTTATATTAGAAATGCTAACAAATGATTTAAATCGTCAATTAAATATACATGATGATCTAAGTAGTAAGTTATTTAATTTATATTTAGGTGTTTAATGAAATACAGTATGCTAACTAAAAATTTGAATTTTTTTATTTATAAGTTTCATAATTTGGTTTATTAATAGTTGGAAATTAATTTATATAGTTTGTTATAACAAATCTTTTTATTATTTCATATTACCTTAAATATTTAAGAGAATTACTAGAATAATTCTTCAAGAATTGAAGTAAATATAAATTATTTTTAGATGTATGATTTGTTATAATTATTAAATTATATAAATTATTTCATAACCAATAAATATCAAGATTATAATATTTAAATTTTACCAAAAATAAATAATTGATAATCAAAAATCAATAAAATTTTGCACCAATGATTAACTTAATAAGAAAGCTTTCACGGAAATGAATTTAAATGTGACAATTACATATATAATCGTTTTGCAATAGAAAGGAAACAACTTGATAAAAATTTTTGAGATAAATGTAAATTTGCTATCAATCGAAAATATTTTATGGCTTAAAATAAATACACATATAAAAATTAAGTCAAATCAATAGACAAAAACATAATCATGATAAGATTTTAATTGACGGTGTGGAGAAAAAAGATCGATACATATTAATCTCAGTAATAATTATTTGACCGTGAATTGAATTAAAATTTTTGCGAAAGTTGTGAAATTCTTCTTGAGATAATCATGAATAATAGAAATAGAATTATTTTTTTGGACGTTTAAATGATTTCGATCTTCGTCAAAAAATGCCTCAAATAACTATACAATTATCAGCTATTTAAATTCAACAAGTGTCGATTAATTATTTGGTTGAAGTTTAAGTCAAACTTGACTCCAGTCGAAATACAATTTTTGTCCAAAATAAGATTTTAAATTTAGCAAAATTTTTCGTTACGCTAATATCATTTCAAAATTATAATTTTTTTCAACCACAAAATTTTAACTCGAATTCAAAAGTGAAAACTTGCTATAAAATCTTTATTGATGGTTACAAAAGATTAACTATTACTTATTCAATAAGATTTAATAAATATATATTGCTTAACCTTAACATCATACACAGTATATTGGAAATAACATGGTCTCTTATCATTTATTCTTTCTTAAAAGTAAAACATAGATGCCCCATTTATTATTACAACTTAATTTTTCATATTATTTACCATTGCTACGTCGTTTACAATTTTACCAACTTAGCATACTGACGATAACTGAAATTAAATTTCGACAAGTATTAAGATTTAAATGAAGCATTTTAGATTGTATAATAAAATTTATTTATACATTAAGTAATGAATGGATTTTAATAACAAAGAAAGCTTAACAACAATTTCCAGAATTCTTTCTTATAAAAAGTATCGATATTGCACAGAATTCTTATCTATTCATTTGAGTCGATCAAAACAGCACAGAAGGGTATAATGAGTGCCCTCCACTAAATTTCAGCTAAGTAATACTCTTTTTGCTCGTATGGAAAATGGTAAATTTATTCTTGAAGCTTCCAAAAAATCTTTTAAGGTAGAAAATTTTCGACCGACTGTTGAGACTTCGTAATAATTAGTTTTATTTCCTGCGTTTATTATAAAGTAGAAATTTACTATGTATGCGACATTGACTATATTTAACTTTTTATCATCGTTTCTCCTTCGTCATAATACTAACAATAAAGTATTTGCTTTAATATAGAAGATGATACAACACAATACAATTAAAGAACAAATAACGTGGATATCGACATACCAATCAAGACGTTATATTCCTGTTGCAATCGCAGATATATATTATCTGATTATAGAGAAATTGATATTGTAACATGGGTTATAACGGCCTTTGACTGACGACCGTTTAATGTATTGATTTTATGCTTGTAATTAAACAATTTGCTTAATAATTATAAAATAGCATTTTTTAAACTTCTTATATATAATTATTGTTTTTATGTTTTGATTTCTTATTTGGTGGCGCAGCAATATCGCGAACGTTAATATTATATATAAATAATTAAATAAAAACTACATTATTGAATGATCGTTAACTTGTTTATTTATATAAAAAGAATTCCTTACTATTTCAAAAATGGTTGTTCAGCCTTAGTGTAAAAGAAAGTGTGAAATTGGAGAAAGTTCAGGATGTGAATATGTGTAAGCATGTGCTTCTTACTCATAATTTGTCGGTGCAAACAAGGAAAGCAAATGTAGATAGAAATGAAGAGTATACAAAAATAAAAATTGAGAAAGCATAATATGACTAGAATTTTACTTGGTCTATGAATCGAGTTACACATTTTATCAAGGTATTGAAATTTATTTGAAGATTAAACTCATTCGACTAAACCAATTCTTATAAAATGACAAGCAAATTTGTTATTTATAAAACAATCACATATTTCAATTCTCTGATGCCATTTGTATAGAAGTTGTGTTGTGTCGTTTTTATCTAATTGAAAATCGATGTTCAGACAAATTATTTATTTTGTTTTTTTTCGATAAAAATAAAAATTAAGTATTTCCCAAGCTATTCTTAATTTGCTTTATATTGGTTTTTGATTTGACTTTGATGGTTAATTCAAAACATTCAGTGACGATTCTTTTCACAGATCTTCATATTCCTGATTAAAGTATTTTTTTTTTTGGTTCGAATCTTTAAATGTTTTTAGTTTCGTATTTTAGATATACAAATAATCCATACCAGTCGTTAAAATTAAAGATAAAATGAAAGCGAATGCATAATTTTACACAAGTCAATAAAAATGACTCGATACAATATTTCTATTCAAAATAAATGTTACAGTATATTGAATTTGTATTAAAATCGCAATTCTATTATTACATTTTAACTACACTAAAGACTTCAGTTTCATCAATATGCAAATCATCATTATCACATAAATTATTATAATTTCCTCTTTTACGGATATAAAGTGTTTGCCCTTTCATATAAAAATCATTTCCAAAGTTAAAAAGACTCGTATTGCGATTTTCATAAACTGAACGGCGAGTCTTAATTACTCTACCAATTTTCATATGATGTGTGTCTTGATCATTTTCAAAAGAAAAGATAAAACTGTCCGAAGAAAGTAGCCATTGACTTTCTCTTAATGCATAACCAATCGGATTATAGCCTCCAAAGATTTTTTTTGATGGACCCTTTATCAAAACTACAAACGGTCCTTGACCATTACATTTAATATGAAATTTCTTACTATCAAGTTCATCCTGACTGTTTGAGTAAATCAAATTAAACCTATATTTATTATTATATGATAAAACATTTGAATCATTTTTGTCAATCCAATTAGAAATAATAGTCGCAATATTTGGCTTAATTATTGCTGAAGCTAGCTTTCTCACGCGAGACGGCAAGGTAGGTTCTTTCGATAAGATTTTTTTATAATAAAATTCCACAATCTTTTCATATTTATTATTTGATATGGCAGCCTTATAAGGACGTACTTTATCAAAAAAATCAGCGGGAGATATTTCCGCAAATCTGATAAGTGGAATGAATGGTTTTAGCGTTTTCTTCAATACTTTAGATTCCTCTTGATCCCATTCGCCTCTATCTTTATTCTTTATTTCAGCCTTTTCAATGCCCCACTTGACTAAACAATCCCAAGCATAAATTTCTTCAATATGCAGATCATTTCTTTTAAGCAAATTTAAAAAGTTGTCTTTGTCTAGCAATGTAAAAATTTTCGAGGTGAGAAATGTTTGTGGGTCCTCACAGATTGATTCGATGCAATATTCTTGCAATTTTTTGCAGCAAGTCATTTTAAATGCAGCATAAAAAACTGTGATAAAATTCTGTCGTATCCAATGGGTTTGTTCTTTAATCAAGTGATCTTGAACATTATTGAATAATTCTTCAAGAAGCAATTCATCGGATGCGATCAATAATCCAAAAATATCTTCACCTGACAGCTTTGTTAAAATAAGTTCGCCCGTGTAAATGTACCTTTGATAAGAAAATAAATTATAAGTGATTTGTAATTAAACAAAATTATCTTTTTTTTTGTTTTTATATTTACTTTAAAATAACTTCAAAGATTATTGGAGTAATATTTGGTTTATTAAACATGATCGTATTTTTATCCTTTATGATCCATTCAGCAGAAAAAGCTCCTTTAAAGTATCTTGAACGTGCTCTTAATATAACTGAATGAGCACGAAATTCTTTTGTATTTTGACCTTCACCAACTAGAATAATAACGTTGAAATCGTCAGAGTCATTTAATAGCAATGAAAGATCTTTTGAAAGGCCGGAATGAAGAATTGAAGACATGTTGAAGAAATTAAGGAGATGTTTCAAGAAATTTTTTTTTCTTCATTTTCGATTTAATTAAATATTATTCATTACATATAATCATTTTTACGTCATTACTTTGATCATTCGAGTTGTAATTACTTGTAATTAAAAATTATACACTGATGTAATCCCTTTCAATAATTTCTCATTTGAAAAAAAAGTCCCGATTTAAAGATCAGATTTATTGTGGACAGACTTTATAAAGGAATTTCAATTTCTATCTACTGTTACAATGGCCATTAAATCATTACGCATGTGTGATGTATAAATGATTTTAATAATAAATTATGTATCGTTTGACCCCAATCGTATTGTTTGCTTAATAAAGTTAGGGATTTGCATTAACTGAGATTTGAAGATCAGCATAGGCCAAATTGACAAGTTGACCACGGGACGAATTGACCTCTAACCAAATAGACCAATGGCCAAAACGAACGATCTCTAGGCCACTTGTTCTCTGGGCGAGTTGTCCTTTTAAAATTAAATGCATAAAAGGGTGGGATTGATACTTAGAAAGTTCTTTCATGATACATCTTAAAATAATATAATTTTTCTCCGATATTCCCTTATTTTGATATTTTAATGGTTGTAGGATCAACATTTAATAAAATTAACTCCGTAAAGTACAGAGCGCCGACGTTTGAGGCAGTACTGATTTATTAATTTGTATTAAAGAATTTTCGCATAATTATTACATAATTAAAAATCCTTCTGCTATTACATTCGTTTATAAATATGAACTGACCGCAACATTCCACAGACATTCCATCTGAATTTATTATTTAATTCAATTCGTTACCAAATTCACTCTAAATATTAGCTTTCATAGGCCTTACTTTCAGACATTACATTGATAATATACTCTAGTAATATAATAACCACAAATTTTTTTTTGATGAAAGCAATAACATGTCACAATAAAGGTTAAGTTAAATAAACTTATAACCCGAAATGACCCGGGTACCCGATTTATAAAATGATGCGGATACCCGGGCGGGTGATGAATTAGAAGACGGTTTCAATCTCTAAGTTTATAAAAACTTTTTTGATGATTAAAAAAGAAATGATTTTCAGGTTGGATGCTTAATAAACTATGAATGTCTTCCATAATTTAAATTTTAAACAAATTAAAACTCATTCAATTTTTATATAAACAATTCAATTGATTTTAACTAATTTGAATTTCTTAAAATCATCGAGCATAAGAAATCTGCTTTTTTTTTATTAAGGTATCCGGGTTGTCAAATCTGGAACCGGGCCAAACTGAGTTAATGTGATCCGGGTGACCCAAAGCCGGTTCCAATCTCTATATAAACTTAACCATATTTTTTCTTGTGAAAACTTTAGTATGTATAATTTAAAAAAAATTATTTCCATAAGATAAGTTACTGATGTAACTATAAATCTTATTCTGACAAATCCGAGTTTTGGCTGGAGTTAAAATTGACTCTTTCGAACGTATAACAGCCAGTAAACAAGGAATAGCGTGCGTGCTTATTTCTCTTTATTTTTTTTTTAAAAAAAAAGTTAAATTTTATTATATAAAATTTGCTTTACATTCATATTTTGTTACATTACAATCGTGTTTAATAAATAATCCCTAATTTTTAATAGGATAGGATAACTACTAAAATTTTCTTTTTGTAAAAAAAAGTGTTCTAATAATTAGAATGAGCTTTAGTATCTAAAATTTCTTTCTTCGATTATATTTATTTGTAAAATTGGTGTGGCAAAATTTTTTATCTGTTGGTTAAACAGAATATTCGTATTTATTCCTGTTTTCATTGCAATTATTATTATTTTGTCACATAATTGTAGCATATTATTCAAGTTATTATCAATATTTTAGAGTTTTTCGACAAGATAATCTTTTAGTGCGAAAAGGCATGTAACAAAGCTTTCGCGTGTAGTGAATGCGGGTCGTTTATTGGATGAATTAAATGCAAAAATATGATTGTAATTCTCACCAACGTCACCAAGCCTGAAAAAAAATACTCAAAAATGAAACTCTTTATGTGGTGAATTTTTACGATCTTACACTGGTAAATAAATATGTATGCGTTTTTAAATCTTGGTGTGCATATGATTTAAATTAAGGATATATTTATATTATTAGCGTTAGTATTAGAAAAGTTCTAATAGTTTATCTATAATATGTTAATAAAGCTTTGATCCGGTCCTAAATTTAAAAAATGATTCAGGATTCCATATAAAAAACATTATCATTAGAAAGTAAAAAATAAAGTCATTAAAAAAAAAACTACTAATTTTAGGACATTTAGGACGATAACGTCCTTAGTTTAAGGAACTTCATAAAATAAATGATCTGGCATTCGAGGATTTTCCGCATGCTCGCTAATCATATAAAAATTCTTTTCTTACATTATTAACGCTACATTATAATATATCCATTTATTTTTTTATTATTATATTTTTCACATAAAAAGTGACATGGCATGGCATTGCGATGAGATGAAAATAATTTGAAAATTATAAATAATAACTTAAATATTTTATTAAAAAATGAAAAAAATAAAATGAATTAAACAAATATATACAAAAATTTAAATCACTTGTAATTGTTCCATTTAAATAATATTAATAATAATAATAACAAAATAGTAACAATAATAATTGATACAAAGATAAATCGATCATTTGAGAACAAGATAAATTTATCAAGCCGATTAATTCGAAGAACGAGTAAGTCTTTTGAGGCATTGAAAATTGCTGTACAGAACCAGGCCGGCCATTTCTTTTTAAGCAGGCAATAGTTTTGCTTTTGTTTTTTAGCTTTTTAAAATAATGTTTACATTATAGAGCATTGATTTGTAGGATTGGGTTTTTTTGTAAGTTCAGAAGTAACAACGACAACTGGATTAGATGTTTTAGCGGTTGGATTCATTTTCATTTTGTTATTTTGTTAGTTTGTTAGTTGTTTTGTTTTATCAGTTTTATTGGGATTTTTGAATTGTTATTTGATGAGGAAAAATTGGAAAGAAAAAGGGTGTTGTATTTATAATAAATTGAGTTGATAATATGCGAAACGATTATAATAAAAAAATATCAATTTTTTTTATTATTATGATATATATAGAAAAATGATATAACGATTTATTTTCAGCAATCTCTAATGCAGGAACAATAATTATGCAATAACTTAGTATTATTGTATGCAAGATAACTTTAATTCTATTATTAATTATTCCTTTTAGGGACTCAATGTTTCAAAAAAATCAAAAAAATGAAATGTATGAAAATCTTGCCGTTCGTTAATGAGACAATACAATATTTATTTTCATTTACATACATAATACATTTTGTATGTCAAATCCGAACGTTCTAAGATCGCCTTGTTTCAAATCCTAACGATCTGAATCAGGCATAAATTCTTTCTATTGTTACATCACAATCCCCTGTTTCTGATAGGATCTGTTGTGTCACCTTTCCTATTATAAATTTTCCTTTTATAGTATAGTGTTATTGTAACGTAAAAAATCGGAACGGTATTTTTTTTTATTTATTTTTAACAAAATCAATCCACTTTGGAAATAATATTTCCTCCTACAAAATAATATAATATTGTATATAGTAGACGAAAGTTTTTTTTTAACATTTTAAAAAAATCCTAGTGAATTATTGTAACTATCATTGCTTCTCCACATCTATTTGATTTAAAAAATTAATTCCCCAAAATTTTTATACCACTTTTTTATGCCACTTTTCTTATAGCATATTTAATTTTTTTTTAAATTTAAAATAAATTCATTTTTCTGATTATATGTTAGAAATTGTAAATGACTCAATTTAATTAAGAATCAATTTAATGTTTTTTTTTTAAAAAAAAATTTAATTATGATGTAGCATATCTTTGTTAACTGTTTTTCAGAAAGGTCTAATTATTATTGATATTGTAATTAAAACGATTTTATTGGTGATATTTGTTCGATGTGAGTAACAAATTAGCAATTAAATAAAAATAAGCAAGAAGGATAAAAGAGAATATGTTTATTAATAAAAATAAAATAAAATACAATAACTGCGCGCTTTTTAATAGACCTAAGAAGAAGAGAAATATTCTAATATAATCCTATTCGATCCTATCTAAAAATTAAGAACGAAAAGAGACATTTTATTATAAAATTTACTTCCCATTGATTTGTTACAGAATTCCTTTAAAAAGTCATTCAATTGCGGCTGAATTACGGACAGGCAATTTATTGATCTATGATGTCAAAAGTGGTCATCTTGACATCAGTTCATCATTGGGTTCGAAACAACAGATTCAATGCCGTGATGATCAATTTTTGGCGCAGTCAAAACCCGAGAGTAATATCATCAAAACAAATTTCAAAGGCTATCCTTTAAAAAAATCCATTTCAAAAAACTAAATTTTTTATTGAAACCAATTTACAATATATAAAGCAACCCAATTTTCAGTTATAGTTTTTTATAGAAACGTTAT